GGATGGCATAGTGGTAGTTGCTGTCAGTGTCCGAATCCTATTGAGCGGTGTTAACCTTTAAAGACCTTAACCAGTAGCAAAATCCTATGTATAACAAAAAGATGCTCAATCGGCATCCATCCCATGAGACAAAGTAATTTAACACGCGAACTAAGACGCATCGCACCACGAACTATACGAGCAGTTTCATACTGAAGTTTTGAAGGAGGTTTTAAATAGATTGGCACACTAGAAATACGATTATTAACAGTTTGAATTTCATTGAAACATGCATATATCATATCCGCATAACTTATTATCGACAAAAGATAGGACTTGTAGATCTGATAAAATGTTGTAGTACCTAAAAGATGTTTAAAGCGGCGCATGAGATAGAGAGTTTGCTTGCATTTAGAAGTGACTTCATGAACATATAAAGACCAATCAAGTCCAGGTGTTACATGCAAACCTAAGTGTTTATGACGATTGAATAATATTATTATTCAAGAGAAGCTGAGGACGAGCAGGTACTTTGTCAAAAAATATCGCTACATATTTCGTCAAGTTCAAAACGCAGTTGCCGAAATTCAGTCCACTCAGAAATATGTTTTAAGTCTAGATTTAAGATATATTTGTTGACGGAGACATTGTTAGAGCTGTTATTGTCATTTTACAAGTGTGGGACTAACGCCTCTTTGTTTTAATTTGTATAAAAGCGCAGCATGCTGAAGTTTTTCGAAGGCTTTTGCAAAATCAAGAAAAACAGCCAATGTAAATTTATTAGAGTCTAATTTCTCTCCTATTGCATGTATTAAATCAACCAGCTGATTAACTGTTGAGTCTCCTTGGATAAATCCCTATTGAAATGGTGTCAGTAGATGGTGTTTTATCACGTGCTCATATAGCCTGTTATAAACCAGTCTTTCTAAGATCTTAGACATAGCTGCTAAAAGTGTGATCGGTCTATAATTTATTGGTTGGGTTGTGTCGCCGTCTTTAAAAAGTGAATGAATTTTACTCCAAGTTTCCATTTATTCGGAAAAATCCCAGAGAAAAGAGAAAAGTTGCAAATGTGTTTTATGTCCTCAACTATTACTGATCCAGATTCTTTCAAAATTTTAGAGCTAATACGATGACTCGTGGCCTTACTAACGCTAATTGATTTTAAGCATTTTTCAACTTTTGTGCTAACTGTAAACGGATCCAAAACAGGAGTCGATAAAATAAGCTGATTAGATGGAGTAAGTTTGCTATAATCAGCTAAAGGCATTGTGCATATGTCCGCAAAATGCTAGTTTAGAGTTTGGGGTCTTCATTTTATCATCTGCCATTCTTTATTATGATCTTTTAATTTACAAATTTTAGCGAAGCGTGACCGACGAAATAATGTATTAACTAAATTGTAAAACCTTTTCTTTTGTAAAACCTAAAACCTTTGCGGGTCCCTCTTATTGGAAAACTGTGAGAATGAAACTACTTACCAAAAAAGAATCGATTTGTTCAGTAGCTGACACTCGCCCGATCTCATTGTTAGATGTTTTTTTAAAGGTCCTAGAGCGGCTGTTTTTGGTAAGGTTTCAAAAGATTCTGGAGAATCACGGCATTTTAGATAATTCTCAGTCGGGATTTAGACCAGATTTTCGTCTTCAAACTAGAATGCTATCTATGCTAGACCAAATTTATTCCTATATGAGTAATAGTTCTCCCGTTTATACTATTTTTGTTGATTTTAAGACAGCTTTTGACCAATTGTGGTGGATTGGCTGCCTAGGAAACTTAGATAGCCTTTGTATTCCTAAAGCGTATGTCGCGTGGATTAAGTTTTGGCTTGAACGACGAATAGCCTTTATCGAAATGAATGGAACGCGGTCAAGATATTTTCATATTGAAAGAGGGGCTCCCCAAGGATCATGCTTCTCTCCTACTCTGTTTATACCTTATCATTCAGACTTATGGACTTTTCTTATCAAGAGTTTGCAAAATAAGTTTGCGGATGATTTAGCTGGCGTTGTAGCTGGTATGATAGGCGTGAAATTCACTGAACAATGTATTGATCTGGAAAAAAGGATTACTGGTCAGCACGTGCACTGGGCAAGCTTAAATTTGACATATTATGTGATGGTTATAAAATTAATTGGACTAATACCTTTAAGTACTTAGGGTATTGGGTTACAACAAGATTAGGTTGGGGGTGCATGATTGCTAAGACTAAAGCTAAGATTAGAAAACAGATGGCTATAATTGGTTCCTGTCGTGTCTTTGGTTCGACGAGTAACTATTTTAGGCGTGTCTTATTTACTACGTTTGTTCTTCCTATATTTATGTGGCTTTTTGCTATTTTTCCCCTATTCACGCCTTGTCAACAACAGGACCTGACGCATTTTTACTATACCTGCCTTAAAAGGATTTATCATGTTACACAATTAAACGACATTCTCTTTTCTTATTATTATGATGAAATTTCGCTAGAAGATAGATGTGCTAAGTATTGGAAAAGGTTTATGGACGCACTACTTGTTTCTGTAGATGGTGATATACTAATGGAGCCAGCTTTCTTAAACGTGTTTAGAGAACAATGGCTCAATAAGAATTATAGCATTACAAAAGTTTTTCGTTCTAAACGATTTGTAGCACATGAGTCTGTATTTGTCAGATGTGCTCAGTGGCTAGAAAACAGTATCGAATGTTCGCTACCTGACTTAGATGAGGATGATCTTGAACTACTTGAATTTTGCCCTGAATCTTTTTCATAGTTCAATTGTCAGATATGTGTAGCGTGTTTCTTTTTTATAAGGATTCTTTTTTTTTTTGTATTGTGTATTCTATTTTTAAAATGTATTAATTAATTTACAGAAATTTTCATGGTTCTTGTTGTATTTTGTTTTAATGGGCCCACAAAGGGCAGTAATAAAGCATATAAATATAATGTTTTAACTAAATTCCACCACGATCTTTTAGATGCATTAGTCTGATGAATTTTGTTTAAATGTTTTTCTTCTTCATCTTCGCATGCTTTTTCGAATTCCATCCAAATACTTTACTAAAGACTGAAGAATTAGGTTGTTTTTGTTTTCTAAATAAGCGATTTTTCTGACGAAAAAGTTACCGCTATTGTTCAATAAACCACGATCGATCAGGCGAAAATATACGGACTGTTTTCGAAGGAATGCATAGCTGAACTACATTCATTATGCAAGTATCTAAAATTAGTGCTTGCTCGTTCACGCAAGTTGAATTATAAAAGAGAATTGCAACTGTGTTGAGCAGTTTTACTAGTTTGTAAGGAAAGAAGTTCCAATCAGGCGTTCATAATTCTTAACAATTATAGATTTTATGTGTCAAACGTGGCGATCGATTAATGTCAGTCGAGAGTACTGCTTTTACAATTTTATGGTCGCAATTTTCGTATAATGCATCCTCGACCTCTATATTTTTCACACAATTGATCGAACTCGTCAAAAATCGTTTTGTTTTACACTCTTGTGTAAATATAATTGCGAATATTTTCACACTTAGAATAACTTCGAATTTTTTTCCTCTTTACCACAGTTGTTTAAGGAAGAACTATGACTCTATATGATCGTATATCCGATGGCTATGACTTAACTATCATAAATAAAAACAAAATGTAAAGAAAATTTTTCACTCAAGCTCTTCAGTGAAAGATCCAAGAATCCAAGATCTTGACTTCTTAGTGTTTTTTTTCAAGATCTTGTGACATTTCTTAATCCAAGATCTCGGGTACAAGAAGTTTCGCTAGGGGAGTAGGTTCTGTCACTACCTGTTTGAAGTTAAAAGTATGTGAAAAATCATAAAATTTTTGACAAGTTGCTGTTGAGGATGTAAATTGCACCAAACAGCGCTATGCCCATTAAAATTCCCTACCAGAATAACACTATCGAAATATCCTGCCTTAATCGCATTACAAATTGTATCACGGAAACATTCTATATAACTATCCGTTCCAGAGGTCGAAAGACCTGGAGATCGATAATACAGTGCAAAGCAAATATGTTCAGTTTTAGAATAATTTCAAAAAACACAATCTCAAAGAACATTTTCAAAAGTGTGATCTTCGAAGTGTGTAAATCTCTTTACTACTAAATGACCTTTATGATATAACAGGTATCATCCTCCCTCACGACTTCAATCTAAACGATGTAACTTATAGCCACTTATATTAATATCTTGATCTAAAATTATTAAATCTGATCATGTTTCAGTAATCGCAATAAAAGAAGGGTCTGACCGCTCACATATCATCTGAAATAGATCAAATTTCGTTACTTTCGAGTTAAGTTGTTCAGATGAATTTCTTATAAGATGTAATGAATTCTTGAATGGTCTTCTAAATTCTTTCAAGTTAATTCAAGTTCTTATCACGAGTTTTTGTAAGAGCTTGTGAGTTCATATTTGAAGATTTTTCCTGCAGCGAACTTTAGCCAGCGTTTTGCATAGATCGTACATGATTGTTCAGATGTTTGTTGGTATAAACTTTATTTGAAAAATGAAAATCTTAATACAGATGTTTGTTATTATATTATGTGAAAAGAAAAAAGATATTGCAGTACATTTAGAGCCTCTAGCCACTCCTGTCACAACCGTACATGAATAGGTTCAAATTGTAGCAGAAGAGAGTATTTAGGATTTACGGCCCTCAGACAATTACTAAGTTAAATGACTTCAAAATCCTTAGAGGGTCTGAAATGTTGAAATAGAAATGGTATGATGCAAGAACGAAAACTAGTCATTTCATAATGTCAAATATTTGTACTGTAGTGTTGCTTTATTTTTATACTCACAAACAACTGAATAGCGACATATTGAACCTGCAACATAATTGGTTAAACTTCATGTCAATAAGAAAATTAGTTATCACTGTTTTAGCAGTAAAATAATTATATTATTAATGATAAGTGTCGGATATTTTATCTATTGAAGTAAATAAATAAAAGTTTTGTTTCAAGTTCAGAACAAACAAAACAGCTTTTGCATTTATGAATTAACTTTTTTTCGCAAAAATGAATTCTAGTTCAACCAGTACACGCACTAGTAAACGAAAACGCACGGTTGCTCCAAAACAAACAGCACTGCCACCGCCAAAAGCGAAAAAACCGCGTGTACAAACACAAACAGAGAAACGTTTGAAGCGTTATCGACCATCAGCCACTTCAGCTGTACGTGTTCGAATCGAACGTGCATTATCACAGCGGTTATATTTAATTGCCCAAACGCATACGTCAGATGATGAAATAAGTCGTGAATATAAAGTATTGGGGCAAACGGGCAATGTCTATGACGTTGTGATTTCTCGTATGCCAACGTGCAACTGTCCCGATGCAGTAAGTTCTCTTTACCATTCTTAATGCCACGAATAATTTTTGTCATTTGTTTCAGTTGCGAAATTCATTATGCAAACATATACTGTTTGTAATGCATCGTGTTTTGAAAGTTCATCGAAAGTCACCGTTGTTGTATCAACAGGCATTATTAACAAGTGAATTACATGATATATTTGCTAAAGCTGATTCATTACATTCAGCAATTGATTCAAATGTCTTAGCTGAACAAACAGTACGAGAAATGTATCAGCGAACAACGGGTAAAGAAGGACTTGTTTTAGGTATGTAGAACAAAACGAGACAGATAAAAGATCAGCAGCAGTCTATGAATAAACTAGATATGTGAGTAGCTGTAATGCAGTGATTTAAAGTATAATCGTTCATTGAGCTATGGAGGGCTGTTTGCTACCAGAATTGATGGGTCTATGTCAAGTGTATGATTAGATTCCATTTAGAAAAATAATATGAGATAGAATAATTTTCAGTTGATCTTTCGTCTAAGTACAAGGGTTTCGTTTCTCAAGCATGACTCAAAAAAATTTTATTTTAAAAAAAGCTTAGCTTAATGCCAACTGGGCTTTTATCCTTTTTTATTATTGTGCATGACTTATTTGTCCATTCTTTCTTATTTTAGATCAAGCATCGACAACAGCAACAATACCAACAAGCGATAATCGAAAACCACTTGATAGTCAAGATTGTCCAATTTGTTTTGAACAAATGTCTGAGGATGAACAGTTAACATATTGCACAGCCTACTGTGGAAATAATATTCATCAAGTTTGCATTGATAAATGGAAAGAAGCTAAACAAAGAGTAAAAGAAGATGTCACTTGTCCACTTTGTAGAGCAATATGGAAAGATAAATACTTGACGAGCACTACAGCACAAACATTTTCATCTAAAGGACAATCTGGTCATGGTAATTATTTGAATTTAGCTGAATTTTCTACAGCACATCAAGATTTAACTGACGCGTATACAGATAACACGTACCATCAAGAATCACGATGGGGATCTTATTGGTAAATAAAAACTCATGTATATTCAGAATTATCTACTTTTATTGTATTTATAATTGTTTTATTGTGTGTATATTCTTACATTATTTACTGTTGTTTATTTTTATGAAGAAAAGCTTGATAGACCAGGAATTCAGTTCACTAAATTCCTTCAAAACAATCAAGTTTTTACTCCAGGCTCGTCCGTTATGCGATTCCAGTTACACATTCATACCTGCCGTGCCATTAAACTGTAAAAATACATCTGAATAATAACGTCCAGCTTGTTCAATTGTAAAATGAACATTCACTAAAAGTCATGTAGTGCATGATGTTTTCTTAATCGCTATATTATCATACTTCTTTCACTTACATGCCATCGCTTGAGCTCGTGTTAAGATATTATAATTTGCATTTAAATGTTCCCAACGTGTCTGTACAACAGCTATTTCCGGTGAAACGAAGTATGGCATTGTACGTTTAAGAAAATCTTTTTTTGGTACAAAATCAGCATCGAATATAGCTAAATATTGACCATTTGCATACGGAATAGCATTCTGCAAAGCACCTAAAATATATGAAATTTTTCATTATGCTCTCTCTTCTACTATTTCGATTATTTTTGCTCATACCTGCTTTAAAACCATCACGATTTACACGCGATAGTCGTCGAATTTTTATATTGTTTGATTTATATTCTTCAACTTTTGCGTCAATAATTTGTCCTGTATCGTCTGTTGAATCATCGAGTACATGTATTTCGTACCGAGATGATGGATAATCAAAATTAGCGCATGCATCAATTATTCGACCAGCCACATAACTAAAATTGAAAAAGAAAAAAATATAATGTGTTAGTAAAAATTGATACTATTCAGAAAAAAGTATTTGAAGGACCCAAACTATTCATAAAATATTCTGTTGATTATGAATACTAACGTCAGCATTACAGACAGAACAGCACAGGATACACGATAAGAAGAGATCTGCCTCGGATACCATCGACCCGAAAAGTCGCTCATACCAGTACCCCTAAAGTCCATTGAGTCATAGCTATTTAACCATACGAAGACGATCTTCATCGTTAGGGAAACTAACTTGAGCGTTAGGCGACCTGGTCCTATGTCGCATATGTGCAGGAGCTAGTTTTGATCACATTAGTTGATACTTCAAAGAATGTCATTTACATAATACAACTAAGAAAAAATGACTTCTTTCATATGACAAAATTAGTTTGGTCTACCTTGTTAAGACGACGATGGATAGAGAAAACTTTTTTCAAATCGTTGGTTGCTTAGAAAATTTAAATGAATGGTCACGGACAAAGTTTGACAATAATGAATACTATACAGAAAAATTCTGGTTTGCCGTGGCAACAAAGTATTATAGAGATGCAGCAGTGAACGCTTCGTGCCATTGAATTAAGCCTCAAGCACATATCACCTTTTTGTAATTGTTCATATAAAAGCAATAAAAACAAAAACAGAGAACGAACAACGGCTAAAATTTTTTCTACTGATGCATCATACTATGCTTATCAAGGTCTAAGAATAATACAGAGGAATCTGGCGAGGCAACTCAAAAAACGTTTTTGGCATCACAAATTTTTTAATTGGACCTTTCGCAAAAATGTTTCATATGTTTTAGAAAAAATGTATATTATTTAAGAAACGATTGCTTTTTTATATATTACTTAAAAAAATTTTTAGTCAATTTATCTCACTTTTCCCTTTGTAGAAAACAACGTATTATAGTTGACTTAATTAAAGTAAATTCTTGGATTAGTCATGATCGCCTCTGTTCAGTACTTAAAACTGTTGTTAAAGTATTATTTCTATCCCTTCTATATACTCCCTAGCAAAGTTCAAAGACTGCTACGTACTTCTATCAATTTTGTTAGGAATTCTGTAATATTCTTCAATTTTTCAGCCATTTTACAGTTTTATCGATGATTCTAAAGCTACTGTATTGAATCTATAGAATCGTCAATTTAGTATTTTTCCACAACATAAGCAAATGAAATTCTTTATCATTATCCTGTTTATCTGATGAGCTCGTATGCATTGATTATGACCCAATTTTGTATTAGATTGGGAAAATCCCCATCGCATAGAGCTCAAAGATGGCTATGCAATTCTCCAATGAAGTTGTCTCGACTGTTTGTACAATTTATTCAACAATGAAAATTTTGTATTTGAGAATTATATTTTTATGCTTATTAGCCAACTACTAGTGAATAATGTTCTCTCATTTGCTTTATCTGTTTTTGCATAACTAATTGACCATTTGTACCTATCATAATTCAATGACATAGTCTTTACTACCAGAAACATTTTGTCTGACAAAACGATTATTTATTGCGAAGAGTACATATTTTTGGTAGAAAATAACGATTATTTAAATGTACACTGTTCAAATACTATCGACCTTAAGATAACACTAAGTTTTAGAAACTTCAGTAAGCAGATTAGCGCACAGACATCTCATAAAAATACTTTCACAAAGAACAATACTAGTTGATTTGTGCTGTGGTTATGTAATGCATTATGATTTTTTCTATTGATAATCCTAAATTTTATGTAAAATAAAATCTTTCATACACTATAAATCAAAAATATATGTCAATTTAATAAATATCAATTTGTCAATAATATTGAACAAATATTTTGATACTAACAATAACCGCATGCAGTAGAACAGTTCACACGTGTATAGCCTGTATTAAACGAGTAATTGATAGCAGACGACACTTAATTGTAGTATATAGACATCTTTGATTGAGGTTCATTAAATATTTACAGCATTGTTCTCGCAACGGTATTATTAATTGTTGCTTTAGGGTGCACAGCCGTTAAAACCGGAATTGAAGCGTACAACTACAAATGACTGGCGGAAGTCTATTTGATAATGTTACTTTCATTTACTATGTATAGAAAAAATTACTAAGTAAAATATTTTCTCTCATTCATTATCCGAAACAATTCTGTTGTTAATCAAAGCCCTTTAAATATAGTATAGTTCATTTTTCTTTCTCTCTCTCTATGCTATAAGAAATTTTCTTTTTTGCACATAGTTAGTGAATTATACATACAATTCTTTTTATCCTACGAATAATTAAAAGCTGTCGACAGGAAAAGAATTCATTTCACTGGTACCCACTGTATAGTAGAAAAATTAATGATAAAAGATTGTGAGAGTGAGACAGAACTTTAAAAGCTTTTTTTCACCTTTGTATATGGTAGAAAAAAAAAAACTCGTTCTCATACTATTATTATTAACGACTTATTTTCGTGTATATATGAAGTGACATATGACAATATTTTTAATTGAAAATATATTCGAAGAAGACAGACAGTTTAATCAATTACGTACTGTGAATAGTTCACTTCATTCCCTTTGTATGTCTAGAAACTACTGTGTAGAGAGAAGCGCAGAAGAGAGCAACAGAATCCAGGTCAATTACACTTATTATATTAGAAGAGTATCAGTGAGAGATGAGGAAGCGCACAAACGACTTTTACACTCCACAAACGTTCGCGCTATTCTTTGATTAACGATCTCCACTCAGATATCTATTTGAAGAGAAACTAACGATCTTGCTGAAATTTTTAGTGAATGTGCATCCTACTAAGATGCGTTTACAGTGAAAGCTCTAGCTCGAAACCTTGATTTATCCTAGCGACAAGGGCCACAAAAGGTAGGTTTCAAAATAAACAACTCGAAAAGACATATATTAGTTTAGAAAAATCCTTTTTCTTAAAGGCTGAGATGACATCCAAAACCTGTTGTTATCGCGAATTTTCTCTTTAATTTAAAACCAATTCACATTTTATGGGAGAAATGTTATAAATGGTAATAGCTCTTAGATAAACAGTGACTTTGAAAAGTATAAAATACTTTTTTTTTGAAAAAGTAATATTTCTTCTGGTTTAATCTAAAAGTAATTCGTATAGATATTTTTATAAGTTTTCGACTATGTTGAATTCAATCTACCTGTACGCATGAATCTGCCGTATATATCTTTGCCTGTGAAGACTTTTTTTTCACTTTTTCTGAATAATCACCGTCCAGAGCTTTTTAGAAACCTTGCTGAAAATATTGGAGATAGAGGAATTAGTGCAATCGAACGAAGAGACGTTGGGCTACAGTACCATATACTTTTTCTGAAAATCTTCTCATTTGACTGAAGGATGGGAAATTATTCTCATTTTTTCTGTAAGATACCAATTTTGGAAATGGATAATTTATTTTGTTTCAGATGCTCTGCTTATAATGTCAGTATTCTACAGAGAATATTTTCAATGTATATAAATATGATCAAAAATATTTTCTTTGTGTTTTGAAAAAGTATGAACTATTTTCTTTGAAATATTTTTGAAGATTGTTATTTTTTTCTGTACAACATCTTATCCCTTTACTGATTGATTGTTTTGTTGTGTGTTGAGTCTTGATCAGGTCTATGTTCTCAGACATCGTTGTATGAAGAGTTGTTGGTTTTTTTTCTACTTAAATGAAATTACAAATACTCATTAACTGAACATGACACTTGATAAAAACAGAGAGAGACAGAGCGAAAGAAAGAATGAAGTGTATATATTTTGAGAGTATCAATGTAACTAAATAAATTTACGTGTATATTATATGCCATTTGTGGCTTATGATTGATCACTGTGTTAGTCGTGTCAAAAACAAACTTGAAACAACAGGTACAATTACCCTTATATATATATTTCTTCTTGCATAATGACATTGGAATTTTTTTGAACGAAATATGACTGAAAAACAAAAATACTCTTATATTAGATCGTTTTCAACAAAAATAATATATATAGATTTAACTACATATCCATAAAATTTTAATGGTTACTAAAAATCAATATAAGAATACAATAGGTTTCAATTAAAAGCCTTTTTCTGTTATCCATTTTAATTTTTTAAACGAATGCAATCTTCCTTTTTTTTATTTCTTCGCTTATTCTAACAAACTATTTTTTAACTTTCTAGTCAAGTCAATTATTTTTGTATGCGCGCATAGATGTGTGTCTATGTATATTGACAAAATACAGTTTTTTTTTTTTCTTCAAAAAAAACGATCAATTAATAAGCGTTTAATCATGCATAGACGTAAAACTCTAATATGCCCGGTGGCCATATTGACTGAACCGCCGTTTTGTTATTTATTTTTTTCGCTTATCGTCCAATTTCCACTTTGAGCTAAAAACGAGTAATGTGCGTAAGGAATGGATATATATATATATATATATATATATATATACAATATAATGTTAAATTAAGCGTTTAATTATTGTATCCTTGAATACGAGAGAAAATAAATCGTTGGAAAAAAATTAAACAAAATTCATTATTGATTAAAAGTTCATTGACTATTCTCAATAATAAATCACTACTTTTAGCCATGAGATAAAAAATAATATGATCTATGTAAAACTCATGAAACAACATCACGAAAAGAAATTAAGAATGTTTGGAAAACGATAAGAGCAATTTAGATAAATAAATTTTTAGAGTTTTAATTCGAAAATTGAGTATGCAGACGGTGATTGTGGATAACTCATAACTTGTTAAAATGATTTGTTTTCAACTCTTTAATTTTAGAGACAATAGAAAAAATTCTAATAACAACAAAAACATAAATGACACAAATAAAAACTATGTACAACAGCACTGTATTAAAAAATGACGTAGAATAGACAAATTAACATTGTTGAGCTTTGTTTTTGTTCGATATGGCACATAAAAACCTGAGCATATTATCTTTAAAAAAACATCTGAAACTCTCTCTCTCTCTCATACTTCTATTATTTCTTGTTCAGCTAGTCTTACACGATTAATGATTGAATCGTTTTGATGTTGTTGATAAGGTTGACTAGAAAATGTTCTTAGTGTTGTTCGTTGAGAAAGAGTATTATTATCGAGAATGGGTGGTGTAGTATAATAAGATACGATTAATGTCTGACCATCGGGTGACAAGGATACATTTGATTGACTGTTAGGTATTTTTGATTTATCAGCATCACATGATTCATAACCACTGTCTCTTACACGTAGTGTTGATGCCAATTGAGTAGTAGTTTGATCTTCTAAAAGATATTTCAAATAATTCATTTATGTATTTAAATGATTCTTTTCTTCTTTTATACTTACGAATGGTATGTATATCGGGTATGACAGAATACGTGTTCGATTTTAATGTAAAAGATTTCGACTGATTCAATTGAGATAGCATGTGCTAGGGAAAAAAAATAGTATTAATATAATTTCCAAAATATTATAGAATTTTATATAGTTCAATGATGTTATACATCATTTTATAAAAGTCTACAACTGTCATATTACTTTATGATGAATATGTCAAGTACAACACTTTCATTAATCCTATTTCATTTTCTTAAATTAGATCATTTTTCTAAAACTCTTTATAATTTAGAATTAGACAAATATATGCGCATACTTCAAACATTTGTGACTAAACGGTCAAGGTCTATCAATTCTATAGTAAAAAATTTCTCTTTTCATTATTCTTAATCCATCATTTACCTTTGACAGTAGCTGTTTTTTAACACATTATCCTCTAATTTTCATTTATTGTAATCTACTCCGCCTGTCTTATAAAGCAGACAGGTGAAATACTATCAATAGATTATATCTGTCATTCCTATGTCATGAAGGATTTCGATCTTACTCGTTTTGTGTTTTACATCATCACGTATATATGGCGTGTCAGACAATGTTTAAGATTACTCTTTTTTTTCCTCTGTTGTTGATCTCCTCTAACACTTTTTATTCATCTAAATCATTATAACAAGAAATTTTTGAGTTTAGAGGATTAAATTTTACAAAAAGAACCAGCTCACTTTATGACAGATATAATTAGATCGATATTTTTTTCCAATTAACTAAATAAACTCAATATGATTATTTCAACCAAGGTGATTTCTTTTTTTTCAAACAAACACCATAATTAGCTTCTAAGAATGCTTGCTAGCAAAAATGTAGTTACTTTATAGACTGATGTCTGTTGCGTCGACTAAAAACATAAGGCTGAGAGAAAGAAAACGGCTCAATTGTCATTATTCAATTGGAATTCGACAGTGTTTCCGCCATAACTTTGGAAAAACAAGTAGAATAACGTTCATCAGAGAGAGACTTCGACAACTCGAAAATTTTACTTTCCATATTGAGTCGTCAATAATAACCATAACAATATTCTACGAATTCATGAAAAACACTTTAAATTCGAATGGTGTCAAAAAATTGACTTACCCGCCCCTTCCTCCCTCGATTTTACTTTGTTTTACTAGGACATAATCTGGACGTGCAAATTATGAGGAATTCCGTTAAATGAGATGATGTTTATTCTATAATTTTTCAATGATAATAAAATCAACTTCCGGCTACAATGAATTCGTTCAATTTGTTTCTAGAGATACACACATATGTATATATATCTAGATTGAGTGTTATATGTATACACTTGAATGGAAATTAATTTAATTAAGAGCTAATTATCGTTAACAAACAAACAATGTATTATTTCAATAGATTATAAAAATGACACTAATGGCAAAATAGTAATAACGTGCAAATCGACTTATATTCGACCTGGCAACAAAGTCGTACTGATAAACATCTCCAGTAGAATAGATAAAAGATCTATTTTTATTGCTAAACAAACTATAATAAGATTTCTTGTTAATGTTTTGTTTAGATATATAGATTTTACATCAGTTACGCTTCGTTATATTTAGAAGAGAAGTTGACCGACAATATAGTGTTTGAGTTTAAAAAAAAAGGAAAAGACAACTTCTATTAATTAGAAAAAAACGTAATGAAACGGAACTTGTCTCCTATGATGAAAATAATAGCGGAACCATATGGACAATGAATTAACCAAGCGACAACAGTTCACACAAACTTTACAATAGAGAAAAATTGTATATTTTTCATTAACATACGGTTCTTATATGGTGAAACAATTGAAACAGATTTGTCAATACGGATATGAAATATCCTGATTGAAGGAGAGTAACTTGTCAACTAAAGATCTTTTCGTTGATTAAGAACTATTACCTTTACATTGATTAAGACGAAACTTGATCATATCACAATAGAATGATCAATAGTTAATCATCAGAAACATATACTGTTCGTAGCCGCTCTCTCTTATCTTGATTTTAACATGCAAATAAGTTGTGCGTCACTCGATGAAATGACTTGCAGAGAACAGACATTTTAACAATATATATAATAGGAACTAGGCATAAGAAGATGAGCTCGTATACAAAATGTAATAGTAATTTGTGTAAGAGAGTTAATATAATCGCAATGAATTTCGATGGTACCTTTCTAAACCATGGATTTAACAATACGTACACGTATTTATGGTCAATTTATATGATAACCCAAAATATTTGGTAAATTAATCAGTTATTCTCTCCCGTTTTTTAACGTCTCGCTATCTAATCTCGTATAGAAGATGTAGAAGACGTTTTACGAATATTCCAATAAGTATTTTGCTTGTGTCACCTGTTCACTTGCATTTCAAATCTATCTTCTCAAATAAAGAAAGTATTCATATGTATATTTTACTTCTGTATCGATAGATCATTAATATGTTTAGACCCTTTTAAAATCATTTTAATAGCCACAGCAAACGTGTTTATTATAACTTAATCATATTAGATATCTTTCTATTAAAACTGACAACAACAACAACAACAACTGCGTGTTCGTCACTGCCATTATCATTTATGTAACAGCATTAGGACGATTTAGATAGTTCAGATTTTTTACTTATATTTGTCAATTGATTTATATAAACGTTGCATTATGATACTAATCATCGTTTTAGATAAAAAAAACTAGTTAATCTCTTATTGAACTAATAGACTCAAGCGCATGTACAACGAAACCTATGCCTATAATTGACACACTTGGCTTCCATTTTTTCTCGTGCATGAATAAACTTAGCTTCTAAATGAGTCACCTTATAGAATTCAATTTTAATATACACACAACAACTTAAAGTTGTTTGAAAAAGTGAGATTAGATAATCAGTTATCTTACACGATTGATTTTTAAAGACTTACCTCTTCTTCATCATTTCCAATATTCTCATTTCCATTTGTATTTTTAACGATCAATGATGATGTTAATGAATGTTCACCACCATTATTTGCTAGTAAAGGTAATTGTGTCTCTGTTTGTTCTTGTTGTAAACGATAGAGTGTACCAATTCTATTTGGATGATCTTTATGATGATGTATATGATAACGAGTCGATTTTCTTCTCGTTGTTGCTAGACCAATTCGAATGACAATAAGTATAAGAATAATTAGAAAACATAGAATAATAAATAATCCAATAATATTGAATAATGTCAAATCAAAATATGATCCTTGTCTAGCTGCATGTATATCTCTTAAACGTATTGTTTCTAAATATTGTTGAGCTATTTCATGAACTTGTGATTGATTTGTTTGATTATTTCCAATTGCAACTATTATTTTAACACGTTTTTCACATGTTTTATCATCATTAGGAACAATATCTTGCAATTTAATATCCAATACATAGAGTTCATTGTACGGTATAGCAATAGCTTTTAAATTAAAAATATTTCGTGATATTTCTTCTAATTGAAATAAATTATTAAAATTTAATAGAATCATTTGACAAGTATCATTATCTCCATCATCAATTTCAACAGGATTATACAATGCTGTTTGATTCCATTCATCGATATTTATAAAAAAATAGACTGTCTGATTTTTTAATTCAGGACACCAATCATTTCGATTTTGAATATGAATTGTTAATGGTACAGTTGTATTCAAACCCTTTTGATCATATGCCATAACGGACATATCATATCGAGTCTGTTGTTCATAATCTAAAAAATATATTTCATTTAACAATAGGTAACAAATACAATGGTTAAATCTGATAACATGACATGAAGAGTAAGTAACTTAATTAGAATGATTCCATAGATTTCTGAGAAGATCATTTTTTTAAACTAGTTTACAAAGCATTTAATCATCTTTTAACAAGACTTATTTTTCTACTTACCAACATGTCCTTTTAAATAAAATGTCCCATTTAGTGTCAAATAAAATGGCCATTCATTATCATTGATATCATTTCTTGTTTCATTAGTGTAATCAATTGTTCGATTATAAATTAATCTATAATTAATTTGACCATTTTGACTTTCATCTAAATCTGTTGCATTTATTTGTCCTATAATTATTGTTTGTGCTTCTTGTGTTTCTTGTATATAAAATTCAAACGTATTATTTGAAAATATTGGTTTATTATCATTAATATCTAAAATATTTATTGTACAGTTTACAATTGATGTTAAAGATGGTTGACCATTATCAGAAGCTGATACTTCAAATTTAAATTGAGATATTGTTTCACGATCAAGTGATTGTTGAACACGAATATCGCCCGTATGTTCGTTTATATTAAAATATTCTAATGCAATATTATCATTGGCCACTATTCGATATGTTATATAACCGTTATCATTTTGATCAAAATCAGTGGCATGTACAGAGACAATAATACTTCCAACAAGAATATTTTCTTGAATATTAACGGTATACGAATTTTGTTCAAATAATGGTTCATTATCATTTTCTAGAAGATAAAAAAAAACAAAGAAAAGAAATGAGAAAAAATATACCGTTGAAATTTTGTTTAAGTAAAGAGATTTTATTTGAATAAATTGATCATACCATCCAAGATTATTAACGAAAAATTAAATGTATTTGATTTTGGTATTTGACCATTATCAACAGCAAATAATGATATTTCATAAAAGTCATTTATTTCACGATCAAATGTACGATTTGTGAATATTAAAAATGCGTCATTAAATATTTCTTTTGTATAAATTGTTTCATTTCCATTCAATTTCCAATTAACATGACCATTTTCACCTTCGTCAATGTCATTTATTGATATATGACCCTAAACGAAAAAGATCAATGATAATAGACTGAGAAAACTAAAATAACAAAAATTTAACAAAAAGTAAAAGTAGAATTTGTTAAAGAACTATTGAGGCTATTATGTTAAGAATTTTAATAAAAGTTTTAATAAAAATAAAATAAAAATAATATTTTTATTAAAATTCTTAACATGATAGCCTCAATGGTTCGTAAATTTTTATTTTTAACCTTGCCCATAAACTCAAAAAAAACGTTAAGAATTTGTTATTTTATGAAATTTTTTTTCTTCGTTATGACAAATAGACGTTTAAATTTAAGATCATCGGTCAAAATAAAAAACAAGAACATATAATTATTTCAAGAGATCTTTTTTGTATACGTTGATTAACAAAAAAAAGTCTGAATAATAGACAATACATACTAAAAATGTTCCATTTGGTGCATTTTCTTTAATATAAATTATTTTTGTATTATTTGAATAGACATATTCCGATTTATATTCAGCAAATTTAATCATAAACAATGGTTCATTATCATTTTCATCTTTTACTGTTACATCGACAATGGAAAATGCTGGCATTGAACCTTGTCCACGATCCGCAGCACAAATTGTTAAACGATAATGTTTTTCTATTTCATAATCTAATAATTTAGCTAATTTTAATTCACCACTTTCAGAATCTAATTTAAATGTTTTATTTGCACTTGGTGGATCTATTAATGATATTGAATAACGTATTTGACCATTAAGTCCACTATCACCATCAAATGCATGTATTCGTGTTACTAAATTATCAATGGGTGTTAATTCACTCAATTGTACATAAATTTCTTTTCTATCCATAATAGGTGAATTATCATTAACACTTAAAAAAAATATATATATATTTGTTTTTTTATTAATAAATAAATTGTCATCAAAATCTTATAACTTACTCCATTATTTTAATTGTAATTTTCATTCGACCAGATAAACGTGGTTGACCACCATCGGTTGCTATCAAAGTATAAATTAATATATCACATATTTCACGATCAAGTAATTTTATTAAACGTAATGATAATAAATCTTGTTGTAATTGAAAAACATTTTTAATTTTATTTTGTTCATCTTGAATTAATTTATATCCTTGTATAGAATTATTTCCATAATCACGATCAATAGCTGCATCAAGTGGAATAATATAACCAATTGGTACATTTTCTAATACTTCAATATCATAATTTAATTTATCAAATCTTGGTGCATGATCATTTAAATCATCAATAATAATTGATACACCCGTAAAATAGACATCAGAATTAACACATAATACTTCTAAATTAATTTCACAACGTTCACATGAACATAAACGATTTAAACAAAAATCATCACGATCAATTAATTTTTTTGTTGTTACACGACCCGTAAATGGATCAATAAGAAAATATTGATTTTGACTACGTTGACCATCGATAAAACTAAAACGATTACTATTTGGTAATGAATGAATTGTATTAATAGATGAACATGAATCAAATGGAAATGTATAAATAGCACTACCAATTGGAAGATCTTCCATTATATGTATGGTATCTTTTTTACTAAAACATATTTGTATCGTCAATATTGATAAAATTAAGACAGATGGTAAAAAAAACATTTTATGCATAAATCTAAAACAAATAGATGAGACTTGATGACTATTAGAAATACTACAATTAATAAACACTAGAAGAAAAAGTAGACAAAAAAATAAAATAAAAATACAATCGTTTTTTTTTCGTTTTTATGAATATCCATCAAGTATAAAAAATAAATTAAAATTAAAATATTTATTCGAACCATAATAGTTCAACCAACTTTGTCAAATGAGAAGTAAAATCTTAATTACATACAAATATCAGACCTACCCTAATTTGTGTGTGTGTGTGTGTGTGTGAAGATCGTTGCGCTCAAAAAAGAAAATATTGTCATCAATATGTTGTTGAAAAGAAGAAGAAGAAGAAGAAGAAAAAAAACTCGCACAGTTTATACTTTATGATCAGGATATAGAACAGATTAAAATCTGTAAAAAAAAAAAAATAAAAAAAACAGCAGAAAAAGAATGTCTATCAAATAAGGTGGTTCTCTTAACATATCGTTGAAAGCAAAAAAACAGAAAGGAAAAAAATGATTTCCTCATTATTTATACGACACATTGAATACAAGAGAGAAAGAGAATATTAACACTCAGCTATATATCAATGGAACCATATCTCTGTCTTTCTCACTCTTCGTGTTCTACATATATATCTACATATATATATATATATTCTTTTCTTTTTTTTTTTTTTTTTGTCCAATTTCTTGTCTGTTCTGAAATAGATAACTCCCTTTTTTTTTCTTTTTCTTTCATTTTCAAGATTGTTCAGAACTGTTGAAGCAACTTTTTTTTGTTTTGCCTCCTCTCTTCCCATCATTATAAATGGTACAATAAGCCGTTTACTTTTTTTTTCTACTTGAATAGACTCATTTCCGTGTTTCATATAGAGCTAGTAATTGTTCAACTAGTCGTTCTACTGTTCTAATTCATTTTAAAAAAAAAAAAGAAGAAAAAAAAGAAGCAGATCTCGTATCATAATTATCAGCTAAAAGACGAAGACAAAGATGAAGAAGAAGAAAAAAGACTGTACACAAGTCAAAAAAGAAAAAAAAGGTACACCGGAAAAATTATCATTATCGTCATTATTTCTACTTTCTTTTTCTTAAAAGTAAAAAGAAAAAAAATTGTACAAAAATCCTACTTTTTATGATTAAAAATGAGAGAAGCAAATGTTAAAAGAGCATCAATTTGAAACTGAATACAGTAGACAGTCACATGGAGGACATTAGTCGCACTTTATAGAAGAAAAGACGTTGATATGGTTTAACATCAACTATACGAATAATTCAATATTCATGCTTTTTTAGATTTAACAATGAAAGAGCTAGTCGATTTTGCTAGAATACTATTATAAAATATGATGAATTGAATATTATTTTTTTAATATAAACTTCCACTATATATTCACAGTTAATAATAGAAAAAAAGAATTTTCTGTTCTTATTCTCTCTCATATTTTCAATACAAAAAATTAAAAATTTTTTTTTTTCCTTTTTCATGACATAATGTAGTTGTGATTGTTAACTGAACGAGACATCCTGATAAAATTTTTATTTATATGTTTTAGTTCCAATAGTTTGTAATTGTTTATAATAAATAGTTATGCTCTATATAGATACGAAGAGAGTAAATGTTGATCCATTAACAACATGGTCAGTTATATTCAAGTCAAAAGGGGAGATAATGTATGTTTTCGCATATGTAAAATGATCTGTATCTAACGGCAGTTATTCAAAAAATTATTGACAATATAGAAGCAAGACAGTTATGATTTACAGAAACATAAAAAAAAAAGAAAAAATTAGAATAATACACCAAAATGTCGAATAAAAGAGAGAGAGAGAGAGAGACAGAGAGAGAGAGAGAGATAAATTTATTCATATACACAGTAAGTTTTCATTTGAAGTTGTCGTTTGTTTTGATAGAAACAAAAGTTAAGATTGTTTATAATGTTTTGAGAAATATAAGCAAATTCAAACACATCGTATATAACAATACAAATGAATAGATATTGATGCTAATTTAACACTTGACGAATAGGTGTAAGAATTCGAATGTATTTACAAGGACAAGTATTATTAGAAAAGTTGAAATGTTCTGTAAGATTAAACACTTTGAAAATAAAGTGGACAAAATAATATCATGTCCATATGATGAAGAAAAAACGAGAAAATAAATTTATAATATACCGAGAAAAGACATTTCATACATGAAAGAGAGTCTCAAAATTCAATTTTTCATCAACACTTTCTTTTTTTAACTCAAAAATCATTCACTAATCTGACAGTTTGGCGATTAGTTAAAAAAAACGTCTTGCTGTCATTTGCCAATGAACATACACATTCAATTTTGCTTCTATGAACAGTCTTATGCTTACTTATCTCAGAAGACAAAAAAAAAAATAATAGGAAAAAAGAGAGCGATGAACTTGTCACAGATGTTTTTGAAGAGCAGAGATAAATTACAATTATTGATCAATTTTCGGCTTATATTGCATCACATATATCCATTTAACTTAAGATATATTCATCTAATAATAGTAAAAAAGAAGAAGAAAAAGAAGAAAAAGAAATATAATTATTATTATATTTGATTACAAAACAAATTAGATCTTTCTTCTGTTGTTAAACACATGAAGTCTAATATAATAAAAATCTCTGGAATTAAAACAATAATGGATAGTAATAAAAAATAAAAACGATTATTTTAGTTTGAAAATAATTATTTCTGCTCTATAAAATACAGAAAAACATTTATTTTCTCCCACGATGATTTATATATTTTAATACAAAATAATACATAACTGTTGCTTGATTATATTATTTCTCTATAAATTTGATATTGAGGTAACTATTTTTGATCTATATGTATATACATCTATCATAGTATTAAGTCTGAAGTTAGAGAGTTAAAAGAAACATTGAAATATTTATGAATTCCTAGTTTTAATGAAATTTTATCGTCTTTCTGTTGATTGATTAGAAGAAACACATCCATAATGAGACATGTAAACTGTTATTTCATGAAATGAACAATGAAAATTCTTTTCATTACATTTGTACATTGTCTACTGTTTTTTCTTGATGAATTCTATTTCTTACATAATATGAAAAATTAAAAAATAAAAATAAAAATGACTCATCCTTATTTTCGTTTGAACACAAAAAAGAAACTTCGCATTTTTGCATCTTTTAGTTTCAATACTCTACTATGTCAATAATTCTTTTTTTTTCCAACGTTTCAGTTAAATTTTTATATAGTGAAAACATGTTGTTGTTGTTTTTTTGCTATAAGTACGAGATTAAAATCGCAAATTATAAAAGTTTTTCAGTTGAAGATGTTTGATTAATGAAATTCAACACAGTTGAAAGAGTGCTAAAAACATTCTCATTATATAACAAGAACGTCTGTCTAGCCAATATACATGTATACACTTCTTTTGTTGTTGTTGTTGTTGTTATTGTTGTTGTCGTATGAATAAGTAAGCACATTGAACATTGAGTAGTATTGTAACAAAAAAGAAAAAGATAAATTAGTTTCATTTAAAAAACTGCTGTGTTTGCCAATTTTATGATAAATTGAATAATTTATGTTGTAAAAACAAAAACTGTTGGCATCCATAATTCACAATGGGAGATAAAAATGTTATTTGTCATTTGTATTCTTTCTATCTATCTATTTTATTTTCACACACAGCAAGCTATTTTTTTTTTTTCTATCATTCCTATTTCTTTGTTGAGTTCATTTATGACCATATGGTTACAACTAACGAGTTAATGATGTGTTTTCATATATTTTTATTACCATCGTCAAACAGATATGATTATCAATTCAACAACAAAAAAGAAAAACAGACTTTGTCTCATCTCTTTCGTTCTTCTTGTTTCTTCTAATAATAATAACTATTATTACTACATTTTTCATCGTCTTTTCTTTCTTTTTTTTTTTTTTGTTTCTTCTTTTTTTTTATGGTGATTGGTAAGAGTACAAGTAATACATATGTTCAGTATCATTGAATCAAAAGCTCAAATAATATTTATTATAAAAGCGCAAGGACATCATAAGAAGAAAGATCAGATGGCGTTTGTCTTTAGATAACAACATTCTTGTTGCAGAGATTTTCTGTTCATACATACAAATTTTTTTTTTAATTACATTTCGTTTTTATTAATGACCATGAATAAAAAATAGCTATCCACTACGAAAACAATCTATCTATAGATTATTTTATTTTAACATTTTTTTCTCTCTATTGCCTTGGTTAGATAAGAGAAGAATTTTTTGTATGAAAAGGGTGAATTGATTGGGTATTTCTTCTTTTTTTTTTTTCTTTTTTTTTTTTTTGTACAAAAAAATTACCCTTTTTAATAGAATTTTTAATATTTACAGAAAAGTTGTTTCATTTGTCAACATAGTGTTCAAAGATGAGCATCGTTCTGTGACTGACGCATCGTTAAACCTAGGCACTATAGACAATATACCAACGAATGGGTCAAATAGAGCGATATATTTATAGATGTCTTAAAATTGTGATTGATTCTTATTCTATAAGTGTTACTTGAACATTATTTGTTATGTGTTCTTTTATACATATCAATTCTGAAACAAAAAAAGCAACATTGTATGTTCACTTTGTGCAAGTGCGATTGTATCACATACACACAATATATATATGCATATTGTATATATATATATATATATATAATCTAAGGTTTCAACAACATTTTCAAGAAACCTCTCATGTATTTATAAGTTATAAAAATTAAAGTGTGTGTATCTTTTCTTTTTTTTTTTTTGCCGGGGATTACGTCTTAAAACAATTATCACTATTTTCAATTATAATAGATGAGAGATGATTTGTAAACATGAAAAGAAAAAAGCTCGAACACGTAACTTGTTTAAACATATCACAGATGTAGAAAAAATACAACTAGTTTATGATGTAAATGAATTGAAACAGTAATAGTTAGTCGTACAACAATAAATCTCTAAAAAAAAAAAAAAATCTTATTTTTCCC